TTGAGAGGTTTGGTTTCTGTTTCTTCTATGGTCGAGAAGGTCATGTTTGAGCTCAGTGCAGTGTGTGCACTTCATATCTGGTGTCAGGCAGGTGTGGGATTGTTCATGGCCAAGTTGTACTACCTACAGGTCAGGAGATCCCTTGAGAGGCTCTTGGGTGAACTCTCAGGGAGCAGCTCAACTTCTGGGCCCTGGCTTGTGGTTATGGTAATTTGAGATCACAGGTACCTCCCCCTGCTTTACCTCTGTCCTCTCCAGGGCTCTCTCCCCCTTGTTGTGTTCACACTGATCTCCCAAATTCTGCTTGAAGTCAAGGTGCCCAAATCAAAGTACAGTGGCTCAAAAAACTGACCACATGTTTGGACATTTTTCACTAAAGTCAATACTGCCCCACATCCCCTAACCTATAAGTGTATGAAACAAAGCCCTTACCATTGGCTCTCTATTCACTGTGGAAACAAGATTTTAGCAGGGGGTATAATTGGACTCTTTAAATGTAGATAATTTGACCTTAGATTTTTTTTGTAAGATATAACCATTAGTCTGAGCAAAATCCGACTCGACGATTTCTGAGTAACATGTCCAAATAATCTCATGTAGACAAGATCTGAATATAGACAATACACCAATAACCTGACCACTCCCACGATGCATTTCCCAACCCCAACTATGCTCGACTCTATCGGCCATAGTCCAATGATACTGCTATCTGAAAAGTAGCCCTTGCTACCTTTCCAACCCTCAGAAAGACAAATGGACTTAGCGATTTTTTCCCTCTGTCACTTGTCCTCCATTGTCTCTCTGTGTTCTCCTCTTTGCCTCTTCTTGGTCTTTCTCATTCATCTCCTCTGCTGCTAATCCTCCCTACTCTAGCTGACCCTTAGGGAGTTCTACTCTATGAGACAGTACCAATTTCTTTCCCTTTCATTCCCATCCAGTGAGTCCACCTCAGTACTAGTCTAACCATGCAGTTTTCACAACTATGGCATCACATGCCCACTCGAGCACCTCAAGGCGACCATGTGGCCTTTTGACTCTTCAGACGAGTGTGATACATGAGGCCACCTTTGATCCCCTGGGCCGCTCTTCACTCCCTGGGGTAGCTGTGGCGCTTTTCTGAGTTTGCCATCCCACAGTCCAGCTAGTTCTACACAGCAAATAATGGAGAACTTGCTAACGAATCGAGACAGTGCTTTACACATGTTTTCCTGCTGCTTCTTGCTATTTTAGCTTTCTTGCATGCCCTTGCTCTGCATACTCACTCTGTTGTCCAGCCGCATCATCAGTCCTGTCATACAGTCGTCACCACCATGTCAGACAACCCCACCCATAGACTTGACCTCCATGTCGGTGGAAAGTACAGGCTCAGTAAGAAGATAGGCTCAGGCTTGTTCAGTGCACAAAGTTCCTATGTGCTTGAATGTATGCACACCCTTACCACTCCCCAGGTGACATCTACCTTGGAATCAACATCTTCTCTGGCGAAGAAGTCATCATTAAACTTGTTCACCATGAACAAGCATTTTGTATGTCTGTCTTCCTGTACCAGTACTAGTCCATCTAGCATACTTATTCATTCAGTCAAGGTCAATATGCACCCACACCTGCACCTGCACTCACACCCGCACCTGCTATGCTACACCACCCGCATCGATCAAGCTATCACCTTGATGGGGTTCTGACAGTGCCATTGCAGGTCCAAAGGATGCTGTGGGGCTCTAGTCCATGGTCGGTCACTTTGACTAGGAGGTGCAAATGGATTGTCTGGATGGCCAGGGAGAATGTTAGAGTGCCCTGACATGTGCCCACTCAGATGCACCTGAGAGTACATTTGTCTACAGCACAGAAGACGTGTTTGTACACACTGGATTCAGACGAGGGGGCTGGGGGAGCAGCAAGCAAGGGCAGCACCCAGGGGGGGGACCATTTTCGAAGTGCACTGTGTAGTAGGCATTCGGAATATAATCTGATCTTATTATTCTGAATAGCGTAAGTGAAGCCAGCGAGGATCGATGTGATTTATATGATGTGACTCATGTACATATCCTATAATTGCAGTGTAATCTGCTTAGAATATAGTTGATGAATGTTGGAATTGTCATGACAATAAGTTTGCAAATCCGACCGGATTACACTTCGAAACGAGAACACCTCACAATGATTCTCAGACATATTATTAGCATTTGCTACTCTTAGGATATAGTATGACTATGGCCTATCACCTGACTATCGCCACACCCAATTAAAATCCCATTTCTGCAGTGATTGGTGCAGGGGTCAAGGATTTTGGATAGGGTTTGATCAAATGGCAGCTATTTCAAAATGATGACTCATGCAGTCAGTTTTTTGACTTTAGGTTTCAGTTACATATATTAGACCCTGGCATACTGTAATATTAGTACATACATTTGGTAATGGTTCTATTATGTCACCTTTATGTAATTGAGTGTCAGACACTATAAATAAACCCCACCATCACTATGAAACCCATCTCTGCATCTCAAAGAAAGCACAACATCTCTCTCTCCTCTCTTGATCTTTCCACCAGGAAAATGCTTCCCAAACTGGCTTAGGGCAGTCTACAGTATGCCAGGTCCTTCAGAAACTCCAGCCAGAGAGGACTAGGCTTTGTGGTGGCCATCCATTAAAGCTTACCCCTACCAACAAAATGACTATTGTTCAACAAATCATTACTGGCAAGGCCAAAAATGCTGTCCATGCCATTCAATTCATCAATTCTCTTATTGATACTCCTTTCTGCCACAGACTGTTAGAAATAGCCTCAAGGAAACCTCTGTAAAGGGTGTGGTCAAGAAAAAGAAGCCCTTGCTTTCTAATCAACACAAGAGAAGGCTAGCCATTGCTCTCAAGTACCAGAATTGGACTGTGAGGACTGCATGAGAGTTATATGGTCAGATGAGACCTAAATATGTAGGACTGGGTCAGATGGGCAAGAGTATGTGTGGAAAAAGAAGGGTGAATGGCTAATTGCTAGAGAGGTCAAGGGTACAGTTAAGTTTGGAAGTGGTTCACTGATGGTATGGGGCTGCAGAAGGTGGAATGGAGAAGGGGTTTTGAGTGAGGTGGATGGATGGATGGATGCTGAACAGTATGTGGCCATTTTGGAGCAGGGGCTGCTGCAAAGCTTGGAAGATTCTGGAATTCCAGAAGGTCATATAATCTTTCAACAAGATAATGGCCCCAAGCACACCTCCAGGAGAGCCCAAAGTTAATTGGAAGAACAGGAAATCAACCTTCTGGACTGGCCTGCACAATCTCCCAACTGTAATCCCATTGAACATACTTGGAATCACCTCAAGAGATGCTTCTCAGGTTATGAGAGTGCTCCTACAGTCATTCACTGACTGTGGGAAAGAGTGGTGGAAGAGTGGGGGAAGATTGATGAGGAGCAGTGTCAAAAATGGAAGCAGTTATGAGGGCCAAAGGAGCTCATATGAAGTACTAGATACTTAAATTGATATAAAGTCCAAAAACTGACCACATGAGTCATCATTTTGAAATGGCTGCCATTTGATCAAACCTTATCCAAAACCCTTGACCCCTGTACCAATAGAGAGCCAATGGTAAGGACTTTGTTTCATACACTTATAGGTTAGGGCCTAGGTTAGGGGATATGGGGCAGTATTGACTTTAGTGAAAAATGTCCAAACATGCAGTCAGTTTTTTGAGCCACTGTAGCTGATTCAGGCTCAAGGTTTGTTGAGCACCCCTTGACCTCTATTCACCATCTCTCCCCATGCTCTAGGGCCCCAGTGGCTCAGTTTTTTTGACTTTGACCCCTCCTCCTGGCTTCAGATCATATTCAAGTTTGAAGAACTGACTTCAAACAACCTTGCCTGTCTCCTCTGCCCTCAGTTTGAGTTCATAGCCCCCCTCTGGCTGAACCTTCTCCCCAGCCATGTGCCTGTGCCAGTTTCCATCCTGGTTCTGATCACATCCCTTGTGGGTTGGTGAAGTGAGTCATGTGGACTTTTGCTTTTTCTTGATATTGTCTCCTTGTTTCTGTTTTGAAGCTTGATGCCTTTCATTTTCTGGACTCATTTTTGATATGATACCTATTCCTTCATTTTGAACCCCCCTTTTTCATTGACTGAGGACAGTCATTTTCTCAAGTCCCCCTCAGATGTAGGGAATAAGTACTCCCTACTAAGATGATTTAAATATTTTTTCTTTTCTACTGTGTTTTTGCTTTGATTTACATTAGTGATACTTAGCTTACTTGTGTGGCGCATTTTTGGTAGCTTAGTCAGCATTTTTGCGCACTACTGTAGGTCTACAGTACACAAAAAAAAAGAAGAAGAAGAAGAACCAGACTGCAAGGCAGCAACAAGTGAAGACTGTGAATGAAAGACTGCAACAAGCCCACATTGAGGCACTCCCTGACAACCTCCAGATGCCATTACTCACTCTTTTCACTATTCCATTCATTCTGCCCAACTCAAATCCACTCCTTTGTCTCTTTTTCACTGATCCAAGCACAGAGTCCCTCTGGGTCAAACTGGACCCATTTCTATCAAGCCCTAGGAGTCCCCTGCACTCCCCAGCATCACTAAATACCTAACTTACAGCAGTAAAAGTGGACCCCTCCAGTCCTTGGGGCTACAAGGCCAAGCACATGGCACTTCATGGAGCAAAACAGTATGATGGAGTGATCAGTGCTTTCAAGTCCACACTGCAGGTAATTGAACAGTCCTATGATTTTACAATCAAGCATATGTACCTCCTGTATGAATCTCACACCCACAAATGACAGTCTTGCAGAACTGCACAACTGCATTTCACCATCCCAAATAATTGGGGTTATCAATCCTGTCATTTGTGAGATTCTCAAAAACTGCCCTCTTGTCATCATCAATGTCACCTCCAGTTGCCTCTGCAATGGCTCTGAGCAGATGCATATCTTCAAGGCTGATCCATCATTCAAACAGCTTCTTTCATCCACAATGACAGAAATAGACAAAGAGAAAATTCTATGAGCAGTTGCAGGTTTTTTTGGATACATCATGTTTTCACATGTATGGGAGGGGACAGAACCATCATTCCAGGACATCAATGTAGTCAAATCTGTGTGGAACCTCCTGGGCATGCCCCAAAATGAGAAGCTATGCAATTTCTGCAAGGAGACACAAAGACTTGGCTACAATTGGGCATGGCCAGATATATGTTGTATTGACAAGTCCACAAGTTCCATCCTCAATCAATCTCTTATGTCCATGTATAAATGGTATGTGGATTTAGCAGCCTTGCTTGTATTCCTTGCTGGTGTAGCACACCCATCCAAGCCCAGGGACCTTACACATAGTTTATGGATGATGCAAGCATGGACTTTGCAAGAACTGCTCTCACTGAAAGTCATCTTTTCCTATGACTCTGAGTGGAAACCATACCTCAGCAATACTAGCACAAACCACAAGGAATCCCCAGAGATCATGCAAGAGCTTGCAGATGCTATCAAGATTCCCCACAGAACCATTGTCACATTCTCTCCAGATGATCTCAGTGTACATGAGAAGCTTCATCTTGCTTCATTGCATAATGCAACAGTCGAGGAAGACATTGCATACTCTCTCATCAGTATATTCAAGTCTGACATCAGGCCTCACTACAGACAATGAGCTGATGCTCTCAAACATCTCCTAGAGGAAATTGTGGCATGCTCCAGCAAGGTCACCATCCTTGCATGGTCAGGAAAGCCATCATCATACAACAGCTGTCTCCTGGCTTCCCTTTCCATTTACAGCCACCTCCTTACAGCCCTCCATCACTCAAAGGAGAGGAAATGGAAAGATGCATTGAGAAATTGCATGACAAGTTACCCCAGCAAGAAGCATGGAGTATATATAATAGGATCAACCATCTTTCCCTCACCCATTTTGCAACCCAATGTCTACACCTTCCTTGCATCATCTTCTCTGTGAGAAGTCTGGAGAAGTCATGCAGCAACAATGAAAAGTTTTACTGTGCTAAGGCATCAGGGCTCAGCCAAGTGGAGTTCACAACTGCAGATGATCTTTTGTTGAGCAGTCCTCAGAAATTTGTCTTCATGCATCCATGGATTGATTATATCTGAGGTCCAAGTAGTGGGGTTATCTGGGGAGATTACTTGGAGTCTGATACCAACTCTGACATGGATGAGGTTGCACCATCACATGCTGTCTCTGTGCCTCAGGTTGACAACTATACCTGGGCACTGGAGGTGATTGTTTGCCTCAGACAGCTGTTCAGCACATTGCTTCTCATACAGCAGTCAAATGGAATGTACAAGAGGGTCACTGCAGAGAATGAGATTGTCATCTCAGGACTCAGAACCAACATTGCCTCCAAGCACATTCAGGCAAAAGTGTTGGAAGTCCTTTGATATGTGTCTCTCATGCTTTATTGGTCATTTTTTTGGGGAGTGCTCATGTTGTCCTTGTTAGTTTGCATGTTATGTCAAGACAAAGGTAGAGCATCAAGAGTGCTACCTAATTGAATACCTGAGGCTGAGTTGAAGAAGTGTTCATACTCATGTGGATGACAGTTTCCATAACTTTTCCTTCTATTTCCACTTTCACTCTACATACATCCCAAAGTAGTCTAACAACCAGGGCTTTGCAGGTTTTGCTATCCATAAAAGCTTCAAACATGTTAATATTTGCATGGCATCATGGAATGGAATGGCTTTTGGGAGGGTTTCAGAGCGCTCTTCAGGAAGCTCTTCTGTCTGGATACCTCATACTATCATCTTGGTCATCATTGTCCTTATCATACCCCATCATACATGTAGTACCATCCTCTGTGCTTTCACTTAAATTTCTGACGAGTACTTATAACCTTCACATGTGTCCCAGTAACAGTCATCTTCCTCCCTATCATCTGTGAAGGTGTTCCTCCAAGCTACAATGGTGTCAACCTCTTCAAAAGAAGACTTCCACAACATGGACAACTTGTGAGAAAGAGTGTGTAAGGATTTGGTCCAATGCTGTCAACCAAGTGACAAGATGTTGGTTTCTTTGTGACAGATCTATGACTTTTCTCATTTGTTCTCTGATCCTACTTAGCCCATACAGCTACTGACATATTTCATGCCTGGGTCTCTACCCTATAAAATAGGCCATGTATCATACTGTATGGGGACTTCTTTCCTACCTTGAAATAAGACACTATTGTGATAAGACACTATTGTCTGGAAACCCAAGTAGAGTGAAGAATCCTTCTCATTGTCATGCCATTAAAAGTGCTACACTTCTTATCAGCATTACATATTTTTTTCCTGCAAAAATCAAGGTCTTACCTCAAACACAATAACAAAAACCCTAGATACCTTCTCAATCATTTGCAGAACTGATCTGCTGCAGAGACAAGAGTAAGTATCCTACACTCAGTAAACAAAATGGTTAATACCCACACAACTACCCACCAAGCTACAAGAGCTTGAGCTTCATCATCACCTCCCAGTCCACTGGCAGCTCAGCCTGGTGCTGACATTGTCAACAACTCCCCACTCCCAAGATTGACTCCACTAGGAAGCCAACATTCCACCCCTATCAAAAGGCCTGTCACTGATAATGTCCAGAGTTATAGCAATGTGGTAAGAACAGGCTCAAGGGATCCAAGCTTGATGCCCAAAGAAGTGGCTATTAACATCCCTGGCTTGAGAGTCAGCTCACCAGTGGACCCAGGCTTGAGAGCAGTCTCACCAACATACCTTGGCTTGAGAGATACCTTGCCCACTTGGCCAGGCTTGAGAGTTACCTTGCTGAAGTGCCCTGAACTGAGACCCACTTTTCCAAGGTCTCCTGGTTTGAGAATCAACTTGCCAGTAAATCCCAGTGAAACTGAAACCCTGGAAGCTGGAAAGGTTTGCACCATTAGAGTCTGGGTACTGACTCATGAAGTGAGAACCTACCAGTTGATGTCCAATGTGACTCCATCTTTCCTGCAAATGAAGTAGAATTCAAGCAAGGTGATTGGATGGAAGTAGTGTGAAGATGATCACATGAACAATGTGCTCACTGTATGCTGAGGTCTGATCAGAGAGACATTGTCTGAAAAGCCAAAAGACAACTGACCCCAGAAGAATGGGACAGGATCCAAAGAAGATCACTGTCCCTGATGAGGAATAACTTTGACAGCCCCATGACAGAGGGTGTTACGCTTCCATCAGGGGTCTTGCCTTTTTTCGATTCCTTGCGGTCACGTGCATCACATGCCTTGTTGCGTCCCTCGTCATCGTCATCAACTTAGGGGTTCATATGTTGCAGGAACATCTCGGATCTCCGGTTGTCCAGGTATTTCCAATACCTGTCAAGACTCGTCACCTTTGATCCAGTATGCCCTGCCTCCTTATTTCATTGATTGATGACTTCCCCATCCGTGCTCTGATGACTCGTTTATATTGCCTTTATGTTGTACTATAGTTCTGGTGTCTGGCTCCTTGCTGCGCTTTGATGCGCAGCCGGTATAGCCTTCGTTTCCTTGACTACCTCCATCTCTGACACTGGATGACTCTTATTTATTTCAGTGATAGGTTCATTGATTACTGCGGATACGCGTCGCTTGCGACTGGTACGGTACTCGTACTTAGGGGTATTTAAACCCACATACTGTACCTTGTATCCTCAGTTTTTCGATAGCTTGCAACTGAGCTAATTACTTTGCTTCAATCCTTGTCTTCTCTCTGCGCGAACAACCTTAGGGACTCGCCAGCAGACAAGACCTCTGTCGGATCTTCGCAATAACTCAGCCATAGGGGTTACAACAAGTTCGGCCTGTAGTCTCCCCCTCACGCGCTTTGTGCCTATTCCATTTGAAGAAGTCACCGCACTCGGGCATAACAAAATCGAAAAACTCAATGCAGCTTTCGGGACTCGTCGACCTCTTCACGCAAAGTCTACTCGTCCCTGGTTACTGAACTTCAACAAACCAACCCTACGACCAATAAAGGCTCGTTGGTCTCCCTATGTGTAAAGACTGACTCGCCTTTACCCCCACTGCTACTCAACTTGACTTAATGGTCAATAACAAAATTGAGAAGCACCCTTCTACCCTCAATCAAATCCACTGCTCTACAGGCAGCCACTAGGCTTTAATAGATCGCCTCCCTAGAGTCAGCGCTCGTGGTTCCCTACACGTAAAATCACTCGCGCACTACCCCTCTTGCTGACAGGTTTCTTTCGAGAAATAAATCCTCCCTCAGCCTTCGTTATCACTTCTCGTTAAAGTGTCTACCCCATCAAAGTCGAGACCTCCTGTTCTGCCCAGAGTAAATCCAACCGAACTAGGAAGGAACCCGCCTTTACCACCAATACCTGGAAGGCTTGGGCCATCAGCCACAGCAAGCAACCCTAGGTTATCGTATCTTTCCCGTTTTAGGGAATCGGAAGTCACACTTAGTTCAGAAGAAGAAGACGATCAGAAGTCCGAGACTTCTTTTGGATCAGTCCTCAAGGAAGAACAAGAAGCACGCAAATCACCCGTTATGTCCATGACAATCGGTCACAGAGAATCAGCCCCTGAGATGCCACCAAAGGTATACTCCGAAGAGGAGCTGAAGGAAAGGTTGGAAAGACAGATGCACTCTTTGGCAGAAGACTGGCGCAAGATTGCCGGTACAGGTCAGTCAAGTGATCCCTTCCCAACAGGAATGCCTACGGATTCGGCTCTACGAGCTTGGTACGCCAGGAATTTCGGAAAGGTAATTCCCCCAGAGGCCCCCTCAGCTGGGACCAGTAAGGGTAAGGCCCCAGCCGATCCTGACGACTCGTATGATGTCCACCCACCCAATGGAGGAAGGGAGTTTAATGTTGGGCGTCCCGGAGAATATGACAGAAGTCACAACGGGCTTCAAATGTGGGTCACCCAAATTGAAGGTTATCTCAACCTTAACAAGCACATCTATAATACGGAATCGCTCAAGATCTCTTTCGCCCTCACGTATATGACGAAGGGAGCTGCCATGTCTTTTGCTGAAAACTATCAAAACGAAAATAAGCTTCTCGACAGAACCATCTGGTATACCGACACCTTCCAGAGGTTCGTTGAGTGTCTCAAAGCTACATTCGAATCCGGCGATCAGACAGCACTCGCAATCCTGCGGCTCTCCGACATCTCACAAGGAAAAAGAGAACCAGAAGCCTACATTGCCAAGTTTACGGGGCTTGTCAACAAGGCCCAACTCAAAGAAGAGTCACGAGAAGCAGGGATCTTCTTCGGAAAAGGATTAAACAAAGAATATCGCAAATGGGTTCTTAACTCAGGGCACACACCTTCCACAGTTATCGAGTGGATCCAGTGCACGGGAGAGGCTAGAACAGCGATCGTGACCAAGCATATCCTTGAAGGAAAGGAATCCCGGTATGAACGAAAGTTTATACACTATTGCGGGAATTCCCGAGATCCTGATGCGATGGACGTTGACAAAAGAAGGCGAAACGTACGCCGATCAAACTCTGATGTCACCTGCTTCGAATGCGGAGCAAAGGGTCACTACAAGCGTGACTGTACAGCATCAAAGCCTAAAGCCTTACCCGGCGTTCGGGTCGTTCTTTCTGCTGATGGATCGAAGACCGCTTACGTGGGAGATCGACTGGCAACCCCAGAGGAGATGAAGGCACATGGGCTGAATTTTTAAATG